AAGCCCCGCGAAGGCCCTCCCTGGCCCCAGGCAGGCAGGGGTGGGGAGAGGCAGGGAGGAAGCAACTTACCCTCCCTCTTCTCCTGCCTCCTCCTGGCTGAATGAGGGCCGGAAGCGGGGCGGCCAAAAGCAGGGGGCGGGGCTTCGTCATGTGCCCCGCCCCCCGTACCTCACCTGGGGGAACTGCGATCCCCCGCGATCCCCCCCGAAATGACCTCTGCTGAGCGGTGGGTGTTGCCTTCTGACAAGCTTCCGGTGATGTCAGGGTGTGTGGCATATGCAAATAAGCTATGCTAATGAGTTATGCTAATGAGCTCCTGCACCTCTTTTTCTATGAAATGACCCCTGGTTTAAAGAGAAGAAATTCTCTGCATTGGGAACAGGGATGCCAGCCTCCAGGTGGGGCCTGGGGACCCCCCAGAGTTACAGCTCGTCTCCAGACTAGAGAAATCAATCCCCCTGGGGAAAGTGGATGCTTTGGAGGGTGACCCTATGGTATTGTACCCCACTGAGGTCCCTGTTCTCCCCAGGCTCCATCCCCAAATTTCCAGGAGTTTCCCAACCTGGAGATGGAAACCCTACCCCCTTCACCCCACTGGTGGCTAGCGGGACCCGGCAACCCTGACTGGGAAACATGTCCCGATTCCCTCAAGCTGCCTGTCCCAGAGTTCTCCTCGTGAGGCAATTTACTCCCAGTGGTACAAGGTAGGGGAAATGAAGGTGGTCTTCCTGCCCCTGGACTCCTAGTCCTTTCACCCCACTGGTGGCTAGGGGGACCCGGCAACCCTGACTGGGAAACATGTCCCGATTCCCTCAAGCTGCCTGTCCCAGAGTTCTCCTCGTGAGGCAATTTACTCCCAGTGGTACAAGGTAGGGGAAATGAAGGTGGTCTTCCTGCCCCTGGACTCCTAGTCCTCTAGCTCAACTGACCTTGCCGTTGTCTGGCTGGGCAACTTTGGGTGTAGGGTTGCCAGGTCTGGGTTGGAACTGGAAAATACCTGGAGACTTTGGGGGGTGGATGCAGGAGAGGGCGGGGTTTGGGTAGGGGAGGGGCCTCAGCATGGGACAACGGCCATGTTTCAAAGCAGCCATTTTCTCCAGGAGAGCTGGTCTGTCGGCTGGAGATCAGTTGTAAAAGCGGGATATCTCCAGGCCCCACCTGGAGGCTGTGGCAACCGTATTTGGGTGTGCCTTTCATACACCACTGGGCCTGGGCCGCTTGTTCCCTGCCCCCCTGCTTAGAATTCGGGGCCAGGGCTTCCGTTAACAAGAGACGGCAAGAGGACCCAGGCAGGCCAGAGTTGTGTCTCTTGTTTCATTGAAATCCAGCACCCACACCCACACACAACACCTGCCCTCCATCTTGATACAATTCTTTTTAAAAATTTATTATTTAATTGAAGAACCAGGGGTATTTTTGGGCAGGAACGCACAGGAACAGAGTTCCGGCTGGCTCCTGAGTTGGCCACGCCCAGCGGGAACTCATTAGCATAATAGGCCACACCCAACAGCAGAAACTCATTAGGATTGGCTACATTAGGGGTGTGTGGCCTAACATGCAAAGGAGTTCCTGCTACAAAAAAAGGCCCTGGGTTTTGACAACAAACAAGGTAAACAGAATAAGAAGCAAAAGGTGGGTGTGGCTGGATGACCACACTTCTGGTAACATGGGGGTGCGGCCTAATGTGCTAATGAGCTGTGCTGTCAGGGGTGTGGCCTAATATGCTAATGAGTTCCTGCTCTTGGGTGTGGCCTATTATGCTAATGAGTTCCTGCTGGGCTTTTTCTACAAAAAGAGCCCTGTGAAGAACTATATTATATAAAGTACATAACATTCAGAAAAGGTACATCAATTATACATGACATCATCTAATATTTCAACTAAATTATAGCAATTCCACTTATAGGTCCCTGCATTATATTTATATCTCTTTACATAAACAGTGTTCTTTTTTCATTCTTTCGGAACGATCATTAATTATGCATTGAAACATCATAGTGATTCGCTTCCTAAGTTCCAGCATCTTCTATCTTCTTGTTTTGATCGGATAATACAGTTGATTAACTTATAAAGTATACATTGGAGCCCAGAAAACCATTGGGTCTACGGAAGCTTGCAGTGTAAGCTAGGGGAGAATTTCCTCCCCTACCCCATGACCTACAATATGAGAGCACATACCTGACTGCTCCTCAGGCCTCCCAGTCCCCCAGACCTTATATATATATCGAGCTAATAAATATATAGCTTGCTACTATGCACCTTAAGGAGCTGTGGTGGCTCAAGTGGTTAAGACGCTGAACTGCAGGCTGTGGACGGTCGGTAGTTCAGCAGTTCGAGACCCAAGTGTGCCGCATGATGGAGTGAGCTCCCGTCTCTAGTTCCAGCTCCTGCCAACCTAGCAGTTCAAAAGCAAGAAATTGCAAGTAGATAAATAGGTACCACTTCGGTGGGAAGGGAACAGCGTTCCGTGCGCCTTGGTGTCTACTCATGCCGGCCACATGACCACGGAAATGTCTTCGGACAGCACTGGCTCTTCGGCTTTGAAACGGAGATGAGCACCGCAACCCTAGAGTCGGACTTGACTGGCTTTCGAGCAAGGGAAACCTTTACCTTTACTTTTTTACTATGCACCTTGATGCAATTCTGAGAACACGGTTGCTTCGGCCAGCTTTTGGTTGCGAGCTTCTCATAACAAGTCAAAAGCCATCATTAACCAACATAGACTGTTGGCTGGAGCCTCTGCTTGGCATGCCGGAGGTTCCAGGTCCCTGGTATCTTCAGTTTAAAAAGACCAGGCAGCAGGTGATGGGAAAGACCTCCGCCTGATACCCGGGAGAGCCGCTACCCGTCTGAGTAGACAAGACCAACCTTGATGGACTGATTCCGTATACGGCAATTTCATGTGTGTTCATGTGTGGCCACCACTGGTCTGATCCTTCTTAGGAAAGCCCTGTATGGTTTGGGATCAACATACCTGAAGGTACGTAGAGAAGGGGCCACCAAAAGCAGCCTGAAATGTTAATAGGCTTGTCCATATTCTCATTTCCCTTCTAAGTTCCTGTTTCTTGGAGGGGGGTTGTTCGGTTCCACACCTGTTTTGCTCCCTCTAGTGGTTGATTCAATATTACAATGCTTTATGTCCAACATAAAAACCATTCCAAAGCAGCCATTTTCTCCAGGGGAACTGATCTCTGTTATCTGGAGGCAGGGCCGGCCCCAGCTTATTTTGCACCCTAGGCGAGGTTCCCTTCTGGGGACTCCTCCCCATGCGCCCACCAATTTTCAAAAATAAATGCATTTTAGGAAGAATGAAGAACACAAATAATCAAGAAACTCCCAGAGTACAGGGCCGGGTGCAGCTTGGCGCCCCTAAGGGCCGGCCCGCTCTAGGCGATTCAGTTCTAACAAAGAACGTGTTTGAGTATGTCTTCAACGCTTTGAAATAAATTTTGCTTTTCTTGAAAACGTGGATTTATTCTCGATGCTTGGGGATCCAACACAGGCGTCTCTCCACAACAGTCTCTCCAATCATACCTCACAGTGTGCTATTAATTCTTTTCATGTTCACATTCCCCGAAGCCTCCTTATGAAACAAAAGAAATTCCTGTACAACTTCAAGAACTTGCGCTGGGCCAAAGGCCGTCATGAAACGTACCTCTGCTACGTGGTGAAGCGTCGGGACAGTGCCACCTCTTGCTCCCTGGATTTCGGCTATCTACGCAATAAGGTACGAAACATGAGTAAGGTTCACATCAAGCTCTGTTAGCCAATGCCCCTCTGGCCAGTGTGCGCTGGAACACTTGCCAGCATTTCCCATAACTTTCTCCTCGTCCTCCTCCTCCTCCATTATTAGTGCTGCCAATTCTAGGTTGGGAAATTGGGGTGAGGGAGGGGGCATTGGGAGGTCAGGATTTGGTGAGGGGAGGGATATCGGCAGGGCATAATGCCGTATAATTAATTCACTGTCCATTTTTGTCCTACGAGGAAGGGTTGAAGGAGCTGGGTATGTTTAGCCTGGAGAGGAGACGACTGAGAGGTGATATGATCACCATCTTCAAGTACCCGAAGGGCTGTCATATAGAGAGGATGGTGCAGAGTTGTTTCCTGTTGTCCCAGAAGGTCGGACTAGAACCAGTGGGCTGAAATTAAATCAGAAGAGTTTCCGGCTAAACATTAGGAAGAACTTCCTGACAGATAGAGCGAAAAAAAAATGCGCTTCCTCAGTGGAACAGGCTTCCCCGTGAGGTGGTGGGCTCTCCTTCTTTGGAGGTTTTGAAACAGAGGCTAGATGGCCATCGGACAGCAATGCTGATTCTGTGAACTTAGGCAGATCATGAGAGGGAGGGCAGGAAGGGTTGCTTAGTTCTTGGGGTCCTTTCCAAGGAAATGCTGATCGCCACACTGGGGTCAGGAAGCCATCTTTCTCCAGGCCAGTTTGAATGAGGATCCTGGAGGTTTTTTTCCAATCTTCTGGGCATGGAACAGGGGGTCACTGGGGGTGCGGAGGCGGAGGTATTTGTGAATCCCCTGCATTGTGCAGGGGGTTGGACTAGATGACCTTGGAGGTCCCTTCCAACTGTATGATTCTATAATTCTCCAGGAGAACTGATTCTATAACCTGGATATCAGTTGTAATTCCGGGAGACCTCCAGCCCCTACCTGGAGGCTGTGGCACCCTGCTTTATCAGTGATGGGCCTGCCATTTCTGCTTTGACACTTTCCACCCCATTACAGTCATATTGCAACTGGAGAGATCACTTGGGAGGGATGATAACAGGACTACAGGATTATTCCCCAGGGCCCAGTCTTTCGGGAGTTGCGGCACCACACTGTGACCTCTCCCACAGGACTTCCCCAGAGCTTTCCCGACAACCAGCACTGGGCTGTGTCCACAGAGCTGGCTCTCCCACTAGGCGAACTAGGCATTCGCCTAGAGCGCCAGGCCCTGGATGGGGCGACAAGCTGTGCCTCCCCCCTCCTCCCCCCTTTGGTGGCAGCGGGGGGGGGGAGGAGGCGGGGCAGCAGCAAAAGGGTGGCTGGCTCCAGAGGTCTCCAGGTCTCCAGGCCCCACCGGGAGGTTGGCATCTGCGCCATAAGGCAGCCTTGCCTAGGGCGCAGAAACACCTCGAGCCGGCCCTGTATGTTCACCTTGGGTGAAGTCCTTTGCTTGGTATCAGCATGTGAATGTATCCTCTCTGAAACATGCCCCACCTCGACCCGGATGGCCCAGGCTAGCCCGATCTCATCAGACCTCGGAAGCTAAGCAGGGTCAGCTCTGGTTAGTGCTTGGATGGGAGACCACCCGGGAAGTCCCAGGGTTGCTACGCAGAGGCAGGCGATGGCCAGCCACCTTCGACCGTCTCTTGCCTTGAAAACCCTGCGAGGTTGCCATAAGTCGGCTGCAACTTGCCGGCACTTTCCATCACCACCAAGCGTGTCCCTCCATTGCCCGTTCCATATATTCTACCAGTTATCCAGATCTCCATTCAGCACTCCTGTCTAAGGATCAGAACCGAGGAGTACCACACTAGGACAGCCAGGGGGTTGCCTGTTGGGATGCTCCCTTCCCCTTTCTTACACACCCGGGGAAATGCTGATCACCACTTTGGGGTCGGGAAGCAATTTTTCTCCAGGCCAGTTTTGGCCAGAGTTCCTGGACGGTTGTGGTTGTGGTTGGGTTTTTTTGCCATCTTCTGGGCATGGAAGGTCACTGGGGGCGGCTGGGTGAGGAGGTATTTATGAATTTCCTGCATTGTTCAGGGGATTGGACTAGATGACCCTTCCAACTCTATGATTCTAAGTGCCACTCCCTTAACAGGGGGAAAAAAAACCCTAGTGTGTCAGGGTTCAATGAGCTTTCTCTCTAACATATGGTTGCCAACAAGTCCACCAGAATTATAACTGATCTCCAAATGACAGAGCTTGCAATTTAGTGATCTATCCTGGTAACAGCTTTCTTTTGGCAAAATGGTTAATAGGCTAAGGGTGATTGCTAGCATAAGGACACCTACGAAGAATAGACAGCTTGAGAAGACTCAGGCTGCCACCACATGCGCCTTTAGATCCGACATAGGTGTGAATGCTTGATGGATCTAAAGGGCGGCAACCCGTGCTGCTCCGCTATGGAAGCGGAGTTAAAATACACCGGGGAAAGGTAAACAGGTTCTGACGGGCCACGGGTGGACTTTCCCCCGTCTGATCACACAAGCACGCACTCATGCTGTTGGGATGGTCTCATCAGGCAATCCCGACTTGGTGCAGTTCCCCCTCCTCGCAGTATGCGCATCACCGCATACTCCATAGGGGGCCGAGTGTGCAATTCCTCGTTTATGCGCATGGGAAGCAAATGGCCAAAAAAAACCCCACTCACCCGCAGTTGCGTCTGATCACTCAATGACGGGCTGAGCCCGCAGCAGCTCCAAAGGGAGGCGTGATCTCCCAACTGCGTGTCAAATTCCTCCGGAGGGAATAACCTCGCTTCCCCTCTGCTCCAGCTTGCATGTGTGACTGCAGCCTCAGAGAGAGACGAGTAACTGAGTCATAATCCTCAGAATTCTGGCTTTTCTTTCTGCACTGAGAACTTCAGCCCCACCAGCCGCAAAATCCTGGCTACGGGCCTGCTCCAACTTTGACTCCAACCCTCCACTTGTCCACCAGTGTTACCTCTGCCTTGCCCTCAATCCCACAGTCTGGTTGCCACGTCGAAGTGCTGTTCTTACGGTACATCTCTGCTTGGGAGCTGGATCCACGGCGCTGCTATCGGATCACCTGGTTCACCTCGTGGAGTCCCTGTTACGACTGTGCCCGCCACGTGGCCGACTTCCTGCGTGCCTACCCGAACCTCACCCTGCGCATCTTCGCCGCCCGTCTCTACTTCTGTGAGGATCGTAATGCAGAGCCGGAAGGCCTGCGGCGTCTCCACCGGGCAGGAGCACAAATCGCCATCATGACCTTCAAAGGTGAGACAGGGTGGGGGCGGATTTAAAAGACGGAAACAAATATGGGGCATGCCTACTATTTGGGGGACTTTTTCTCCCCGCTGCCAAAACGTTAGAACTTGAGGACATTCAGTGAAGCTGATGGGCTAGAGAGTCAGGACGGACAAAAGGAAATACTTCTTTATGTAGTGAGAGATTAAAATGTGGAATTCACTGCCACAGTGACGGCTATGGATTAGACAGAATAATGGAAGATAGGTCTATCGGTGGCTACTAGCCATGGTGACCAGTGTTCCCTCTAAGCTGAGTTAGTGTGAGCTAGCTCACAGTTTCTTTAGCCTCCGGCTCACCTGTTTTCGTCTCTGCTCAGGAAGGAGGGCTCCAGAGCAAACTAATTTATGCAGCAGCCAAACTGCTCGCTCACAACTTTAATGCCAGAAGCTCACAAAGTGGAATTTTTGCTCACAAGGCTCCACAGCTTAGAGGGAACATTGATGGTGACTAAAGGGAACCACCACATTCAGAGGCAGTAGACCTCCGAATACCAATGCCAGGTGGCAACATAAGGGGAAGGGCTCAGCCTCTATGCCCTGTTGTTGGCCCTCCAGAGAAACTGGTTGGCCACTGTGTAAGACAGGATGCTGGCCTAGATGGACCACTGGTCTGATCCAGCAGGACTCTTCTGATGTTCTTATGAAGGCCTCAGCCTCTCTGCCCTGTTGCTGGCTGTCCAGAGGAACTGGTTGGCCACTGTGTGAAGCAGGATGCTGGCCTAGATGGACCACTGGTCTGATCCAGGAGGGCTCTTCTTGTGTTCTTATACTTACACCACTGGTTTAGCCAGCATTGCCACTCCCCAGGAAGCACATGAAGTACAGTTCTATGAGCAGGCCCCAGGATCTCAAACAAGATTCTCAGTTCCATCACCACACCATAAATGTAGCATCGTTTTGCGGAGCCGATGGCCGTTAGACCAGGGGTCTTGTTGTAGAAAAAGAGCTGCCGGAGCTCATTAGCATAACTCATTAGCATAACTTATTTGCATATGCCACGCCCCCTGACATCACCGGAAGTGACAGAAGGCCACACCCCCTGACATCACCGGAAGTGTGTCAGAAGGCCCGGCTACTTACCCTCCTGCTTCATCCTCATTCCCAAACGGAATGAGGATCGAAGCAGAGGGCGGGGTAAAGAAGGGGGCGGGGCTTCACCACGTGACTGCCCCGCCCCCTAGAGGTTCTCTTCCGGAGCTCCGTACCTGAGAGCTCCCCCCCGACTAGAGCCCTGCGTTAGACCAGTATAAAAGTGACATACATTTATTGCACGGCCAAACTGAGTTGGAACCCTCTACGGACTTCTCATCAGATTACTTCTACTGCTGGAACACCTTTGTGGAAAACCGCCAGAGAACCTTCAAGGCTTGGGAAGGGCTTCATGAAAATTCGGTGCGCCTTGCCAGGAAGCTCCGCCGTATCCTTCTGGTGAGGAAATATCTCCCACCACTTCCTTTTCCGTCCTCTCTCTCTTTCCACGTTGCTCCTTATGCACCTCTTCTAACACCTTCTCCTCCCCCATCACTCAAGGTCATCTCCAGCCCCCATTTTATAATTGTCCTGTTCTCTGTCTCCCCCCTTTCCCCCCTTTTGCAATTCTCCTTCTTCTCCCCTTCATATACTTCTTCTCGTGCCGTAGCATAATAGGCCACACCCAACAGCAGAAACCCATTGGCATATTAGGCCACACCCCTGACAGCACAGCTCATTAGCATATTAGGCCACACCCACATGTTACCAGAACTGTGCTCATCCAGCCACACCCACCTTTTGCTTCTTATTCTGTTTCCCTTGTTTGTTGTCAAAACCCAGGGCTTTTTTTTTGTAGCAGGAACTCCTTTGCATGTTAGGCCACACACCCCTAATGTAGCCAACCCTAATGAGTTTCTGCTGTTGGGTGTGGCCTATTATGCTAATGAGTTCCTGCTGGGCGTGGCCAATTCGGGAGCCAGCCGGAACTTCGTTCCTGCGCGTTCCTGCCCAAAAATAGCCCTGGTTCTTTGTCTTTTCATTCTTTTCTCCTGTGAGCTATTTTGTTTTGTGCTCTCAAAACATTTATTCCTTACAAATCTGACGACTCTTTTCTTTCTTCCACAGCCGCTTTATGAAGTCGATGACCTGCGAGAAGCGTTCCAAATCCTTGGACTTTAAAGTGCTTTTGGGAGTGGGCGGGAGTGACATTCTGGGGACAATAGCCCTGGGAGCCATAGCCTTTTGTCCTTCCTTCTCTACTGCCCTGAACTGCATCCTGGGAAAATCAGTCTTTACAGAAAACATGAGAAAGACCCTCTGAGGTCACCTTCAGTGGCATGCCATTTCGGTTCCCCTCTGTGTTCTCAGTCAGGAAGAGCCAGTGCTAGCATGAGTATGAGAAGCAGGTGACACCATTTTGGGACGATCGATTATTATCCTCCGCAAGGAGAAACATCATCTGATCTGGAATTGAGAACTTTGGGGGGACTGGGTAGACACTCCATTACTGAGCAGTTACTGGGTCCAATTCAGGGTTCTAGACGTCATCTACAAAGCCTTTCAAGGCAGACCCATATAACTGAAGGATTGCCTCTCTTGCTACGTTCCACCGCGACAGCTCCCCTCACCTTCTGAAGGTTTTTTGTTGTTGGTCTACAAAGCTTTTCAAGGCAGACCCATATAACTGAAGGACTGCCTCTCTTGCTACGTTCCGCTACGACAGCTTCCCTCACCTTCTGAAGGTTTTTTGTTGTTGTTCAGTCGCACAGTCGAGTCTCCTTTGCCGTCCCCGTCTTCTTTGACCTTCAATCTTTCCCAGCATCAGGGTCTTCTCCAGTGAGTGCTCCCTTCTCATTTGGTGGCCAAAGTATTTAAGCTTCAGTTTCATTATCTGGCCTTCCAGGGAACAGTCTTTCTTTCTTCTTCTTTTCTTTTCTTTCTTTCAACTTACTACCCCGCTTGAACCCCCCAGGGGGTCTCTGAGTGGCTTACAGTTAACTGTAATGCAATGGTTCAGGAGAGCATTTTTGTAGCAATAGCAGTCAGGGTTGATTTCTTTTAGGATTGACTGATTTGATCTTCTTGCAGTCCAAGGGACTCTCAAGAGTCTTCTCCAGCACCATAGTTCAAAAGAATCTATTCTTCGGCGCTCGGCCTTCCTTATAGTCCAACTCTCGCAGCCATACATGACTACTGGGAATACCTATGCTGTGGAATGGTCTGCCTGAGGTTATGAGGAAGGGCCTCCCACCACGCTTCTGTCATTTTGCAAAATGTACAATGGTTCAGGAGAGCATTTTTGTAGCAGTAGCAGTCCAACGGCATTAGTTTGTTTTGTTCGGAATCTTTGCTTTCAGATTCATATGTTATTCAATCACACCTTGTAATCTTTGTACTGATTTGATGAAAAGTTTTCATTTTTTTTTATCATACTTTTAATCCGACTTGAGTCCCAGTGGGAAAGGAGGACTACAAATGAAAATAATGATGATGATTACAATGATGACAACAACAACACAAGTCTTACCTGGGGCAGGAGGTTAAATGCAAATCCCAGCACCTCACAGTGAGCACACAAGACCGCTGGTGAAGCTTTCCACAAGCATTTTCAGGCCCATCGTCATTGGATGAACACCCGTCATTTGGATGGCCTCGCACTGATCTGCGGTCACTTTGTGGTATCTTCATTGTGCCCTGCGGGGGCTCCCTGCTAGATCGATGTTGTGGGCAAGTGTGAATACTGGGGCAAATACACCCCAGGGTCTGGTAACCCGTGGCTTTTCCTCACACTTGACTGATTCCTGATTTTCTTGGCAGTTAATCTATAAGCATTGGAATTGATTTGGGCATTGTTCTTCTGCTCTCGGGATTTTCCACATTCTGATTTTCCTTGCTTGTTTTTCCTGTTGTTTAGGTGTGTCGCTGGGCTCTTTTTGTAGAAAAAGCCCAGCAGGAACTAATTAGCATAATAAGCCACACCCAACAGAAACCCATTAGCATATTAGGCCACACCCTGACAGCACCGGTCATTAGCACATTAGGCCACACCCCCATGTTACCAGAAGTGTGGTCATCCAGCCACACCCACCTTTCCCTTCTTATTCTGTTTACCTTGTTTGTTGTCAAAACCCAGGGCATTTTTTGTAGCAGGAACTCCTTTGCATGTTAGGCCACACACCCCTAATGTAGCCAATCCTAATGAGTTTCCGCTGTTGGGTGTGGCCTATTATGCTAATGAGTTCCTGCTGGGCGTGGCCAACTCAGGAGCCAGCCAGAACTCCGTTCCTGTGCGTTCCTGCCCAAAAATAGCCCTGGGTGTGTGTGTGTTTCTGTTCTGCACATGTTTTGCTCCCTCTAGTGGTTGATTCAATAATTCATCTCTTCGTGCCCGGCATAAAAACCTGTCGTTGAAATCTCCAGGGAGATATGCCAGACGTAACCAAATGTAATATCAAATCGACCGCTAGACAATGTGGAAAAGCCATCTCTCTGCATTTTCACAGTTGTGGAGTCAGGTTATTGTCTGCCGCAAGTGCCTTAAACAATTGGGATTTTCAAGGCAGGGTGCTGTTGCCATTGGTGGCATCACAGAACACAAACACCCTTTTAATATTTTTTTTTGCACATGCTTATTTCAATATATTGATATCGTGGCTGCGCTATTTAAAATTAAAAACTGACAGAAACCTTATGCACAAGGAAAAAGCTGACTCAAAATTGGCTTCCAGGAAAAGATTGGAGTAAAAGTGGTCTCAGAAGAACAAAAGGCACAGAAATGTATGCAGAAATCAGGGATAAATTGAAACAGCATGGGGCCAGAACCAAGGGGGAAAACCCATGGGGAAAAACTTTTTTGTTAGAAACGGTTGGGGTAGTGGATTGACTAGCAGCCCCCCCCCAAGGGCCTAACAACCTTTCCTTCTAGATAGATCAAGATGGGTAGCTGTG